AGTACGGAGAGTGGATTTTAGTTTGAGTTGTCATTTTGGTCCTATCATTTCTTTCTTTTTTTGTTTTTGTCATCCCTTATTATTTGAAATTTTGTCTCCTATATATACACATGACGAAATTGCATGAAAAATGTAATCGTATAAAAGATAATACAAAAAATTAATATTTTTTTTTACATTCCAATTTCACGAGACAACAAGTTGTTCTTTTTTCTCGTCATTCATTTGCGGCGTTTACGCACATCGATCGGACGACGGACTTTCCTTTGAAACGCAATGTGTCAGCTGGTAAAACCCTCCCCCTCCCCCCCTGCCCCTTTCGACGACATCGATGGGTTTTTTTTTACTCTCTCACTTAGAATCCTGAGAGAATAAAAATGCTGACGTATTTCAATGGCGCGCCTTTTCTTTTTTCGTTTTTAATTTTTCCCCCATTCACGAATTATTAACGCACCCCACAACAGTGGGAATTAAAAAAATGGACTTATGAAAAAATGTGTTAGGTGTACAACACAATAAATTGACATAAACAAAATTAGTTATTTCTTTTGATTTTCATCTATAAAAAAAAATGACCCAGATTTGTTAAAAATCAAAACGAAATCCCTTCGTGAAAAGAAAGGGATGTAATGAAAAAAAAATAATAATAATTGAACTTTGAAGAAAAGCTCTCGTGCAAAAGAGAAAGAAAGAAATAGAAGAAATATATTATCGTCAATATGATACCAACTTGATAAAGAAGAGACAAGGAAAAAAGAGACAAACTTAAAACCACGAAAGAGTAGGGATTTTCATTTGCGACGAAAAGCAAAGCTGTTTTTTTCTTTTTTTTTTGCCCAGCCACTAAAAAAAGCGAGCGAGAGCGAGAGAGCGAGAAAGAGAGAGAAATATAAAAATATAGAAATAGATAAAAGTCCACAGACATGATGACATTGTTTTTTTTTTGTTTCATCAATTGAGAAGAAGAAAAATCTTTGTTATTTTTATTATGTGTGTGTGTGTGTGTGTGTGTGTGTGTTATGTTGGACGAATAAACGGCACAATGCGACGAACATGAAAATCGAGATTTAAAAAAATTGGATAAAACCAATTAAATTGAGAAAGATGATATCAAAAATAGAAAATAAAAAAAAAGAGAGAAAGAGTGATAGAAAAGTGAAGAATATAAAAAGATAAAGATAACGTATCAACGTTATATACTAGAATTATATAACACATATATATGACGCGTAATATATATTTATATATCACATGTTGTTCTTTTTTATATAAAATATGACACACACAAGAGTGTGTGTTGTGTTGAATCACTTCGAACACATCATTCAAAAGTAGACATTTTGTTTTTTAATATTTAGAATTGACATTACTTACTGCTGCTTTTAACAAAAAATAATATTCAAACAAATTTCAAAGTGATAAAAATCATATTTGAAAATTAGTCTAATTAATTGAATGAATAATTAGAAGAGACTAATTTAAAAGAAAAAGATGTATGCATGTAATTTGATACGCATCTGTGTAAAATGTCTTTTTGTTTGTATATAAAATAAAAAAATACGTAGGTTGGAACTGAAATAGTGACAATTATTTATTCACAACCGATACAAAAAAGTTACACGTATGCACCTGTTACTGTCCTTCAAAGTAGTCACCAACGTTGTGTAGAACCCGTTAGCAAAGCCTGTTCTGTTGATGGTGCGAATCGAGCGGTCTACTGCCATGTCGAATCTCTGGAACAGTTCTGAAGCGAATGCCACAAAGGGTTCCGCATGAATTGACGGAAATACAGAAATGGATATATGCGTTACGATGCTGCTCAGATGCACTTGGAGCGTTATGAGCGCAAAGGAGAGACTTTCTTATGCCGTATCGTAACACTGGATGAGACATGGCAGTAGACCGGCTCCATTTGCACCTTTAACAGAACAGGCTCTGCTAACGGTATTATACACTATGCCTTCCACATAACTGGCAATGGGTTCTACACAACGTTAGTGACTACTTTGAGAGACAATAACAGGTGCAAACATGTAACTCTTTTGTATTGGTTGTGAATAAATAGTTGTCACTATTTAAGTGTCAACCTACGTATGTTGTTATATATTGGTATGCACATTAGATATAACAATATTGATGTAAGTAAGATATACGTAAGATATCTCTCATTTGATATTCGCAAGCAGCGTTAATGATATTCTTACAGGGTGCTGGACGCCAGATTGGTGTCCTCGTCTTTGAGTTGGCCGTCGAGGGCGAGCCCCCATTTATCTTTGTTGTTGGCGAGAAGCGGTGTCAAGGAGAAGACTTTGCTCAGCGTGAAACCTGGCCCCACTGGGCATCCCTCCCTAACAAATATTTACCATAAGTATATTTCATGCCGTTTATAAATAAATATATGTATATATAGATGTATAGTAATTTATCTGTTCTTCGATAAAATTAGAATGAGGAAAGAAAACAAAATAGATTGTAGTAGAAAGAGAAGAAAGATAGAAGAAAGATTAGAAAGATAGAAAGAAAATATTTAAACGCCGAACTAATCAACAAACTTTGACGATTCTCTACCTTGTCTAAATTCTCTCATTGGTAATTCCCATTACAATTTTACATTAAAATATATTATTCTTCTCGTTATAATCCAAAATTTACAAACGAGAAATAAAACATTCATTATTATTCCATTAGTTTTCATTTGAAAAGTATTTCCAACAAGATTTAATAAATTGTAGTGGAGAATTATTGTATGGATTTGTTTGTTTTTTTTTTTCTTTTTACACGAGTGTGTAATTTGAACGATGGGACATTTTATTCGCATTGTAAATTGTCAGAAGAGAGACACGACGATGGTGAACGCTTTAATTGGAATTTCGATTAATAATAACGCGTAACCATTATATTGTTTTCTTCTTTTTACGTATTATATTATAATATCCGAGAAACATGCACACCACCACAACACATCGTGTTTCGATCGCCTTTATTTTCTTTGAAAAGAAATGAATGTAAAATATTAGATCAGGTTTCCCTAAAAAAAGAAAAAAAAAGAAAAAAAGAAAACGACGGACGGGGTTTATGTAACGCCATTTGTCAATAAATATGTAGAGAGCTACTACAGGTAATAAAATGATCTACTTTGTCACGAGACAATAATAAGCTACAGAACATCAAATAATATCAAACCTCTAGGTGCACCACCCAGCACAGCGTATACCACATTTTAAACACACACACACACACACACAGATTAAACGTAATATACACGCCTATTGTACAAATAAATATTTATTATGTGTAGATATAAAAATGTGGTATACGTGTAGTAGATAATCAAAAAAAAAACAAAAAAGAAAAAGAAATCCCACAGCATGTGCGTTTTACACACTGGCAATACATATCAAGAATAAAATATACATAGGATAAACGATAACAAGGTATATAAAGTAAGAATATAATAGTAATAAACGTATATCGAATATAGTCGTTTCCATATACGTGGTGGATTGATAATACAAAGGCGTTAGAAAGAAGAGTGCATTAGTTTATCGTTGATATAATCAGATACGGGATAAAAGAGAGAAAGAGAGAGAGTGGGTGGGTGGTATGTGTATGTGTAAAAGGAAAATATCTATAAAGAAAAAAACCATCACCGATCGTGATCCATAACTAGGTATATGTGGTAACAGGCCACCACGCAAAAAACCCCAGCACAAAATCACCAATAAAATAAGTGGCATTCCATTCTCCAAAAGATATATATTATGCGGATATATATATATATATTTTTTGTTTTGTTTATAAAGACCACAAAACTTATGGAGACCTATAACGGCTTTTGTTTATTTTCTCTTTAATAATTTGTCAAACAATTAATTTAAATGATAGAAATAGTTCTTTTTACGTTACACTGTGTTACACTTTCAACAAAGATTTATCGTATTTTGTAAATAATCCGTTAACAGTCTCCACTTTCTATAAACCTTCAAAGAAATCCCGTTCGAGCACACACTCACATTGTGCTAGATGCGAGGTTGGTGTCCTCGTGCTTAAGTTGACCGTCTAGAGCAAGACCTCGCTTGTCTTTGTTGTCGGCAAGCGTCGGCCTTAGAGAAAAGACCTTGCTCAGGGTGAATCCTGGCGCTACCCCTATACTGCCAGTGCAATCATCTTATTTTCCTTTTCATGTTTCAAGATTCTAATGTAAAATTTATTTTATATACCTAGCATGGGGGATGTGTGTTGTGATATATATTGAAGGATATTTCAAAATCTAAACTCGTTATTCTACTTATCCGGCATCGATTTTATGTATACGCGTCGTCGTGAGAAAAATATGCGAATGCGATTAGATTAACTTGGGAACAGGTGCATCGTCAAATATATAATAAGGTATTAAAGTATTTCAATCATATTAAAGTAATTTGATGCATATAATATTAAAACTGTATATTGTGCATTGTTATTATTATTGTTTCGAAATTGTTTTAATTTTCTAACTAAAGTACATCTGTTCCCAAACTATTAAGCATGAAAATAAAAAAGAAATAGAAAAAAAAAGAATCGATTGAAACTCTTAACTAGTTTGTCCGTTTAACGGGTCAATTGTACGCCGACACGCGATAATAATATAATAAATTGATAACGACGTATATTCTGACGATTATCTTTATCGTCATTGCCGCCATAATCATCATCATCATCATCATTATCATCATCACCATCGTTGTCATCGTCGTGAAGATAAAATTTGAACTGGAAGGTACTCACTCGCTTTCAGCTTCAGCAACGACGCACTTGTATTGCGCGGTTTGAAACAAACAAATGTCTGCAAACTGTCGCACGGACACCTTTATCTTTTTAACTGTTCGATTACTATTGTTCGCGATGTGCACGTTTATAGCTATATTTTCGCCATGATGATAAAGCTCTTTATCAAGAGACGCTTCCAAAAGCAGCTTGCTCGGCGACATCAGAAACTCTTTGCTGACTTCGACGTACGGTTGTTCGCCTTGTTTGGATGGGGCGTACATTATCTTCCGTATCGCTAGCCTTACTGAATTTCTGCAACAGTTAAGAAATCAAAATGTAAAAAAAAAAAAAGAAAAAAAAAGAAACGTCTACAAATGATCATCTGAATTTATCTACCTTTTATGGGGTTTTTCGTCCTGAGTTTCACCAACGAAGGCCTTTAATTCGTAATCGATGCCGCATGGTTTACCGTTGTCACCAGGTGCTGGTTGTAACGTCACAGAGGCCGGACAATGTGGTGGTAGCTCAAAATAGAACGGATAGGCATTACTTCCTAATTTCTTCATTAGCCTCTCTTGAAGACGTGTCAGCTCTCTGCGCGGCTGACAGCTTGTCACCTGGGGATAAATTTGTTCCGCAGCAAGATAAAGATCCTTTCGGAAGTATAGTCCAAGCACGTCGAGATCGTCTCTTCCATATTTAAACGCTGCCAAAACATGGCCGAAAACTTTACGATCTTTCACGTAATCTGGGTCAATGAGTATTATACCGTCTGCAATCAAAAATTCAATTATATACAAACAGAGTACATACATGATGACCCCACCTTTTTGATGATACAATTAATGACCTCCCTTTACAATACATCTTTCCAGTTACATCACTCAACTCACAACGTGACATTTCATTTAACTAATAAAACAAATTAGTTAAAAAAAAAAAAAAAAAACAATTCTATTAAAACAATAACAAGAGTGCTTTCAAAGTATTATATAAGTGATGTGTTATGGTACGTAAATAGATGAGAAAAAGGAAACAAAAATAAACTTGTCGAGAATAGATAAGAAAAATAATAATAAAGGATTAAATAACGATTAACTTTCAATTTGTATTACGTATGCATGTGCAAATGTGTGTTATCTATTTAATATTTATACAATTAATGATATCGTTTATTATAAGAATAAAATGTTTCTTTACCGATAGGATCAACGTGGGTTATATGATCGACGAAATCTCTTTTTCCAAGGTAAACAGTGATTTTGCCATTGAGACTGGATTTTTTAAAGACACGGGTGGGTTGCCGTTTGTTAACACTGTCCACAGTGTCCATAGCGCGTATCCCAGGGCCCGAACTGGCCCCTAACTTATTTCAGTCCTCAGTGCACAAGAAATCTATCCACTAATTGTAACACTGTAAAAGATAAGATAAAAAGAAAAAAAAAACGATTTATTTAATAATAATCCAAAATTATCCACGTCAAATGATATTTCAAATAGTTGGTCTTGTAATTGTGTTAAGTAGAAGAGTACCTATGTCAGAGTTACAGGGGACTAAAATGATCTATATGATATTATCAATGAGATATCTAGATACATGAATAATAATATGGTTCGTATGTATTTACAGGAACGTATACTAATACATAGATTCATTGTGGAATCCATGTGGATATCTATATCACGACGGAGATGCATAACAGGTATGAGACTCTCTTCCCTGCATAAAATACGATCCATGATTAGTGTCAAGTATACTTTCCTACTCGTATATATTACAACTATATACATATACATATGTGCATGTAGAAAGATGTACATTCATATATGTACATACCAAGATACTTTGCGTATTTCAATTCTCGCTAAAGCCTACAGGCGTTGTGCATAATTGAACCAAGTTATGCATTGTTTAATAAAAAAAAAAAATTGTGCAACAAATGATTAGCTCATAGAAACAACACTACTACTACTACTACTCTTTATTAAATAATTCCAACTATTTGAAATCATTATACACTTAACTTGGCCCAATTTTTCTAACTTCTCTTGTGTATTCAAAGCAAAGCTGCAATCTTGCACGAATATCTAGATATACTATACTTCTAGTGCTATTTTTCTCCGACATTTACGAGCTAAAAGTTTGTTGAATTATAACGTTAGGTATATATATATATATAATAGAAGTGTATAACTTGAGACAACTGAAACGTTAGGTTTAGACGAGAGAGTATCGGCAACGTGACGAACATAGTGAGAAATGCAGTTAGGCCGATTTGCGTCAGGATTGCGTTCTCAATAAATATGACGCAAACTCGAACATACTCGAAATTCTAATTGATGCGATAAGTTTCTCCGATCCGAAAGTTAATGAACGTACCGTGTATACAAAAAAAAAAAAAAAAAGAAACAATGTTCATTCGTCAAAAGATTTTAATTGAAGATAAAATGACTGTGTGATATCTCGTCGTTATAAAAATAATAGAATAATTAAGATCCTTACGTTTTACATGAAATATTTACGAGCTAACAAACATGTTTTTCTCGTGGTATGTTATATATATATATACATAATTGAAATAATAATCACATAAAGAACAAATTTTTCCTTAGCATGAAAAATTCGCAAGCGTGTAACTGTATAAACATATGCATACACGCGCGTGTGTATTTTAATATATGTATTTATGTATATTCATAAGCCTCTCTTCAGAAGAGTGTGCAAAACGTCAAACGACCCAGTTGCAAGCTGCAATGACGAATTCGTTGGTAATAAAACAACTTACACATATTTTACTTATACAACTAATACATTTTACACGAGTTTCATTAATGTTGTTTCAAATATATACTGCTTTAATTTTCTATTTCAATTTATATCGAAGAAATATGAACGTTACATTTTTGTTTTGTTTAATTAATTAAAATCTAAATACATATATATATTAATGAAATACAACTACTAACTGTATAATAATTTAACGATATTTAAAAAGATAATTAAATGTACAAAAAATATAAACGAGCTTTATTTTCACTCTTTCTTCTTTCTCTGTTGTGTGTTATATAAACTGTATGAATCATATCTTCCTTCCGATGAAAGATAAACAAATAAAATATATTTTATGTGGTTCGTGGTAAAATAAAAAAAAAATAAAAAAAGAAAGAAAATAAAGTCGTAAAAAAAAAAAAAAAACCTATAAATCAAATGATGCATCGACAAAACAGTTGTGAGTTCATGTAAATTAATATATTGTAATACCTACACAAGTTTAATTGTTCAACTTACGTTTATTATCGTAGAAATGTATAAAAAGATTTGTAAAAAAAAAAAAAAAAAMAAAAAAAAAAARAAAAGAATTGCAATATAATTATCGAAACGAGAGAAATTAAATTCTTATCGATGTTGTTACGTCGCTAAATTTTATGTAAAACCTAAAATTCAAGCACAGTAAAGTAATAATAGTAGTATAGATAACGTAATTACGATAGCGCTATGTGTAATTGGAAGAATAGCTCGTTCATTAGGCGACATTTGAAATTCAATTATCGTTTCTACTTTGAGATGCCATCGTAAACGTGGAATTTATGGACATTTGATTATCTTTTTTTTTTTCTCTTTTCTTTCAATACCCATTCACAAGGTTCTTACTTTCTTATTTCTAAAAATATGCAATTTTTCAATTGACTAATAGAAACTTTTACACAACAGCGTTGTTAAATGATCTATCAAGCGTATAATTAAATTATAAAATTTCAAATGAATTTCACATCTTCCTTCCTTCCTTCTCTTCTCTTCATTTTCTGCTTAAACTTTTACATTACGAATCTAACACCCGATATATAACACTGCAATTAAAATGATTAAATGAAGGTACTCAGTAGAAAATGAATATAATTCTGACTTTATATTCATGTACTGGTTGTCCTTTTTTTATTAGAGATACAACGTTAAGGGTTCCTTCTTCGAAACTGAACTTTTTCCAAGATGGCCTCGGAAAGTCGTCTAAGGCAAAAGATGGGATGGAAAAGGTAATAGGATTTTCCCTTCTTTTCATTAGGCGTACTTTTCCATCGATTTTGTGGCAAAGTACCCTTTTTGCCTGACTGCTAACTCGAAAACCACTTTCCTTCTTCGTAATCGTTATCGAAGGGAAAAGCTGTTAGAGGAAAGAAGAGAAAGAGAAAGAGAGAGAGAGAGAGAGAGAGAGAGAGAGAGAGAGAGAGAAAGGTGGTAGTAAACTCTCGAGAAGAACAACATAACAACACTTTCGCTCGATGTTCGTCAAGTGCCTTGCCTTTTATCCAATATAATCTATTTTTTTTTTTTACCCACCCTCTATTTATTTTTAACATTCAGAGTAATTAAAATCTTTTTAAACATTCCACAAAATTTTGTTTTTCACGAAACATAAAACCAAAAAAAAGTTCCTCAGTGATTTTCAAAATCAATTAATTGTTTTCTCATCAAATTATGGAACCAATCACAATATCAGAAACTTTTAGTTCACTTAAATGAATTTGATTTCAATGAGAATCCATGATGATTCAAAGGATAAATAAAAAAAAAAAAAAAAAAAGAAAATAAATAATTTGATGATCAAAAACGTTTGCTTTCTCTCTTTTAACAAGGAATAACTGAAACTGTTAGCTGTATAATCCGATTTTAATTAATGGCATTGCTTTGCACAAGACTTTCCGGTAGTGACGAATATCTTCCGGTCAGATCAACTAGGCTCAACTGCTTCATATTCCTCCTTCATTTTCAAGGAGTAAAAGCAAGTGTTTTTTTTTTTCTAACTACGGAAATACAGGCTTCCCTTTATTAAGGAGGTCATGGCTGGTGCGCAAACCACGAGGAGGAAAAATTGTTAGGAAAAAAAGAAAGAAAAAAAAAAGAGAAAATTTAACAAGCATATATCTCAAGGGTGGTATGATTTGTGGGAATGTATTATTTCTTTCTACACAATTATTATTTCTAACTTTCACTGTAAATAAATTAAAAACATATTAATTAATTATAATGATATCAATGCAGATCATGCTACACAATACACATTACTGTTGTATTTCATTTTGTTCAACAAATAAGATATTGCTATTGTTTATAAAGAAATGAAACAATGGTTTGTAAACCATCTATTTAATGTACAAACTTTCTTTGGAATTTCCCAACAAACGTATATTCATAAACATAAAATTGCCCATCTTCTGTGGTTACTATAACGTTACCATCACTATTTCCAGACTCACCTATGTAGAAACTCTAAATCTCATTGATAGACGAGTCATAAAAAAAAGAAACTTTGATAATAATAAAAATTATCATATTTATGAATTATAATAACTAATCTAAATGATTAATCGAATATCGTTAGTGGTAAAATGAATGATTGATTTAACGAGATATTATGCAAGGTGGTAATACAATACGATAATGAAATCTAAATCTATGGAAATAATAGAAATATTAATGCATTTGCTAGGCGTGAATGAAAAAGATAATAAATAAATATATATATATATACAGGATGAATGTAATTAAACAACAGTCGGTGAAGAAAAATTGATTAAAATTTACGCCCATGGATCGATCTATCATTTAGAAATTATTCGAACGAATGATTAATCGTTTTTACGACACTAATTGTTTGAGGAAAATATAATTGAACAAGGCTATTATTTATCTCGTATTTCTTTAGCAGAAAATAACGTAACCTTCGTTGTTGAGAGAAACATCCATTTGTCACGGTTTAGTATAAGATCTTCGTCTGAAAAAAAAAACTGAGTTTTCTTATATGCAACTATGTATTGTATGTATATGTATGTTTCTCTCTCTCTCTCTCTCTCTTTTACATATATATATATATATAAGTATTTCATATACGTATATATATATATATATGTGATTCGCGTCGGTTGGCATATCGAGTAACGAAGGGTGAACCACTTTTGCGCGTATTAAAATTCAAAGCATATCGGACGTTTTGCATACCTCGCTCCTTTCCTGATCTCTCATCGTGAAAAAAATATTACAGGATGTCGAGTGATGAAAATGTACGTACTATCGATTGGCCGGCGATCCGTTCATCGACCAGAATAAAATTGCGTTAACAATAAAAGAATTATACGCATGACGTATTTTGATTTTTAAATATTCCTTCACCTTATTTCTACCCTCCCTTAAATCTGACTCGTAACTTTCTATAAAAATATCTTCATTTTATGAATATAAAAAAATATGAATTACATCATTAAAGATGCACGTATTCATATTTGCATTTGAATATACTATGAATCCTCTTGAGTTTCCTGTTACTTTTGTTAACATTTATTGAAAAACAATTATTATTCGTATGATTATAAGGAAGTGTTGAAAAGATAAAATCACGTTGCAAATTTTGCAAGGGAGTTTGCAAATGTGTCGTATAAACGAACGTTATAGCTCGTCGCGTCCAATAAAGCACCAACGGAAGTCGCGAGTGCGATCCATTGTGTTCGCTTGGGGAAACATCTAACGTGCTTCACTGCATGATTGTCGGACCGCATCCAATAACGACAAAAGAGAACTCGAATTTTACGATAATCCTCATGGCTATAATATTTATATATATATATATTATTCTTTTTAATGATTAATTAAGTATCCATTTGGCGCGACATCAAAAAAAGAAAAACTTATAGAAGATTTTTCTTCTCACGACACTGTAATATATTTCTTTTTTTTTTTATGTCCCATGTTTCTATGTAATATACAACGTAATGAAATTTTATTTCTCTTCAAAATGACGTCTAAGGAAGGAGTAGTAGTAGTAGTTTTTCTCATCGTGCACGATATTACCCGATATAAAATGTTCACATTGAAAATAATCATTTGATTTTCCTGATACCAAAATCTCTTCAACGTTATATACATCCAAGTTAACAACATTTCATTTTTAGCAAAGACCAAAGTCTCGGTAATAAAAGTAACGATTTACTGACACGTAAAAAACATTTCTGTTACTAAATCTAACGGGATTGTTGTAAATGAAATTTATTCGAAGAAAATACAAAATACTTAAAATGATAATGAAATTTGAAATAGATTGTAGAAGAATTTTGTTAATTGAGAAAGAAAAAAGATGTGATATAAAAAACATTATAAAAATAAAAATACAAGAGGAAAGAAATATATAAAGAGAGACGTTTTTTTTTTTTGTTCTTGTTGTTGATTTCAGGAGAACACGAATGCGTGTAGTAATTTTACCCGGAAAAGGCACACGGCTTGCCTTTGTATCTGCCGGAACTCTTAGGTACGATGCAAAAAAAGAAAGACAGACAGACAGAGAGAGAGAAAAAGGGGTAGAAGGGAAAAGGGAGGAATACAGAATTCCGTAGCTTTTGAGAACAGACGATTTCAAAGCTTTTGCGTGTCTCTCACAGTGTGCCTCTTCTTTAGTCACCTCCCTATATTATCTCTATCTCTGTCTCTGTCTTTCTCTTTCTTGTTTCGTGACTCTCTTTTGAACCTTTGGTCGCGACATACCACACGATCTCCACTTTTACTCGTCTCCTCTACCCATCAAATCCCTGGCTTTAACGTGACACTTATAAACCCTTGAGTTACACCCCCTCCCCATTTCGACCCTTTTGCGAATCTAACAACGTTGGGAAAGCTTCGAAAGACGACTAAATATATGCTCGGATAATCTTTCCAAAGATATTTACAGTTTGGCAAGAAAGTCAAACGATCATCGGGTGTGATGATTATATTTTCAAGCAGTAAATTTGTTGTATATACCATCGGCACGTTACAGCTTTACGAACTTTTCAACAAATTTCATTTTGGTGAATTCAATGTATAACGTTGAAGTTTTCCTCGGATGGAAAGCCCTATATACTTATTATCCATGCAAAACAAGCTTAAAAAATAACATGTAACATAAAAAATACTAGTGTCATTCATTGAAATATAAACTACTAAACGTTCTGATATTATTTTATGATCAATCAAATTGTTTTGCATGATAATAATACAGTTGTACATTACATTTCTCTATTTAAAATGATTTTATATAGAAAACTAAATGGAATTTATATATCGATAATAAGATATATATATATATATATATATATATATATATAGAAAACGTATCATCGAGTGATATCAAATATGTACGTCGATGTTGTTGAAGATCAGTAAAATGTCGAGTAAAGATATTAAAGTCAAGATTAGTTACTATATCGTACGTAGATTATAAAAGTATCTTTGTATTAATGATACACAATTTCAAGATAATATCTCATCATAACACGCAATATATCATTTTCAAAGGATTATACAAGTTTGATATGTCGCAAATCATCCAAATGGATTTTCCAAGTAATTTTCATGCTCCTCTCTACCCTCATTCAAAAATGCACCAGATAGAAACCTGCGTCTCGTGAAAATATCGTTCACGTATCGTTGCAGAAGATTCACACGTATATATGCACATACAGTGATAAAAAAGCATGCTTTCTCGTGTGTATTTTACAGACGATCTGTTTGCTCAATCGGAACACGTTTATCTCTTTCTCTGTTTTTCTTACAGCAATGAAAGAGAAAAAGAGAAAAACGAAGACAGCTGCAATTCATGCCATTTCTATTCTAAAATGTTAATTGCATTTGATAAATACAAATGTATATTTATTAAAAGTAAGTTCTTTATAGTATTAAAAAAGTGAATGTTTTTTTTTTTGTAATTATATTCGTATTAAGAATGTCAACATTTTGTTATCCCTTATTTTGATTTGTTTTCTTCTTCAACGAGGATTCGAATGAACGGAAGGATGTTTCTTTTTTTTTTTTTTGCAAGAGAGAAATCCAAAGATCTGCGACTTAACTTGATGTATGAGTGTTTACAATTTCAGCAAAGCAGAATAATACGTAACTGTTTAATATTCTTACAAATTCATCTTCGATAATAACTCCATATGAATTTGTGTACTCGAACTGAAAAAAAATACATTTTTAAAAGAAAAGAAAAAAAGTGTTGAGAAGATTAAAACTTTCAATCTAAGGCATTGATAAAATTCAAATCTGACTTTACGTTTTAAATATTATCATAACACTTCATACCATTTTATCTTTACAACAAGTCACATTCTGATAAACTAATTCTTGCAGCAATGTCTTCGTATTAAACCTGTTTGCGATTTCTATATCTCTTCTTCTTCTTCTTCTTCTTCTCATCATTGAAAGATTAGATTTTTCACTACCATGTTTTAAAATCAACTTACTATTTATTAAATTAATTGTATTAATACAATTTTTAAAATATCTATTTTGTTATTTAATTATGAATATTATCTTTATAGATTTTACAATAAAAGATGTTGATTAATCTAATACATATATATATAAACTATATAATTAATAGAATACACAAAGTTTGTAAACTTTCATTAAGATTGCATTTGAAAACGTCACAAGTAAATAACTTTAAATAGAGATAGATGCATGTTACTTTTGAATTTAACAAAAACATCTTTATTGTATTTATCTAAAAGTATTAATATTAATTTAACCATTTTTAAATTTGTATAATCACAAGTGAACAGGAATGTTTAAAATGAGCACCACTTCCTCATCAATCTATTTGATAACAAATTGAGTTTGAATAAAACATTGATTAAATATTTGAAATATTAATTAAATTGAATATATCTATTAATTAATATAAAAAAAATATATAAAAGTAAAAAAGGAGAGAGAGAAAGAGAAAAAAAGATAAGACTTACCTAATATTTTCTGGCGTTCAGTCGGCCCACACCCCTTTCCCCGAGTAATCTTGATCAACTGTCACACATAAAACTCACTATTGTAAATAATGAAATTTCTTGTTTACTTTTCGATTTCTTCTTTTTTAGACACAAATCACGAAATCACGTCTAACAATTTATATTGTCTTTCATTTATCTTAATAATGTGAGAATGACGATGTAGCGGTTCTTTGGAAACACACTCCGACTGTGATTACTGCACAACTACTCTAAATACGTCATGTCCTGAGAGACTAGCGCCTCTTCGCAGACGCTCCATTGCGTTGTCTCGGCCATCTCCCGCTAGTAACATCAGAGGGCAGCACGAGTCACAGCAGAGGTTTTCGAGTTATCTAGTATCAGAGGGCAGCACAATACAGAAAATGCAAGTGCTAGAAGCGCGCCATTATTTCTGTTCTTTCTCATTAGTAAATGCAAGTACTTTTACATACTGAATGGTTGAAGCAATCAATCCTTACTCATTATAAATTGTTTTGAAATATTATCTACATAAATATAGGTCTCTTCTAATCGCCTGGTGTATTAATTTCTCTTATCGATATTTTCGATATTTAAATGAAAATTCACTGTGCAATATGGAAGCGACCAATAAACAACGAGATATTCTTATTCCTGTCTCGTGATTGGAGAATGGCATTTGATATCACTTTTGATGCATTTCTGGAAATACTAGGTAAATAAGAAACGTAGCATGAAATAAAATAACGCAAGATGATCCTGTTCTTCCATATTAAAATAGAATCTTTCTAAATTTTTCTTATTATTTTGTGACATGAGGATACTATTTGCATAGAATTATCTTATTCTTTAATTGCACTTTATATAATCATTTTTTAATAGTAAGTGAAATAAATTAATATCATTCTATGTTTATTTATTATATATTGACACTTTATCTGAAGGTTGTGTAAATGTTGAAACCTTGACTTATTTGTCCACTTAATTTTAAACACGTCAGTTATATTGCAGTAATAGCGTTACCTGTTTCTCTACATCTATTATGTGATAAACAAAAGAAGAAACACATTATTTAATTGATATAATATAATAATAATATTATCTTTTCAAAATTATCTATTAAAATATAAACAAGTGTAACTAACATATTTGGCATGATAGATTCAATAAATTGTTTTGATACAAGTTTTGTAATCTTTTGAAATACTTATTACAATTAGAAAAGAAAGTTGATTTTATAATAAACGTGGACACAGTACATTTGTATATATCTTGTATATAATATTTAATAATATTGTATTTATTTTGTATTTAGACATAAAGTTTAAAATGGCAAGTAACAGCAAGAGCGAAGATCAAAGTGAGGAAAGTTTGAAAGAAGATAAAGACAAACCCAAAATGAGTTCAGCTGAAGAACGTTCTGAATATTTTAAGAAGTTGGAAAAATGGTTACAAGAAGCTTACGCCTGGCAAAGTGTTGCTGCTATGTTTCCTTATTATGTGATGTCCAATCAAGTTTTAAATTTATCAGGTTTGTCCTCATGCAACTATATATTTGACTTTTTTTTTTCAATGATATCATTAAAGTTATTATTATTAAATATTAGAAAATATTTCAAAGAAGGAGATATTAAAAAAAGAAAATAATTACAGGTGCTATGCCATTTGGTTCTTCAATTCCAACAACGACAAGTGCGCAAAGAATTAATACGGCTACTCCTCCACAGCAAAATGATCTTCAAAGACCAAGAAGACCACCAGAAACTGTTCCACCACATTTTCAACGGGCTGATGCTGAAGGTAGAAGGTCATAACGATAACACCCGTGTGCATCACACTCCAAGAGAGGTTCAGCTAGTACTATATGTGCTTTTGATACAAAAATACTGCATTAAATTATATTTGGAAAAGAAAATGATGACTCTTCGTGCAGTATTCGCTAAAAAGTGTATCTATGTCTTTGATATTTTGAAATGAAATAGAAAATGTTTCCTCTATAAGATATTACTGGACATGCAGTAATTTTGAAATCTACATCTTCATCATAATCACTGGATGTATAATCATATTATATAGAGTTCTTAAGAATAGCGTTTTCCTTTTTTACAGGATTTGAATATCGCATACCACCTGTATGGAAACGACTAGCAGCAGAATTCATAGATTCTGCAATGTTATTTCTTTTGAGAATTTCTATTTCTTTTGTCATCATCGATTTTTTTGATTTTATGTACGTATCTAACAATCATGTTTATACTTTGTACTTAAGCTTTAACTGCATGCTGTGCATTTGTCAGTGCAACTAGTTACATATTTTCTAATGTTTGTATTTCAATCAAAAATCATTTAAATTTATTCTATATGTATGTATATATTTCAGAGGGTTAGAAGATTCAGATTTATTACAAACGAATCTACCTATTGATTATAAAATGTTTATAGAAGTAACATATGGGACTATATTACTTGAAATAATAAATCGTATAGCAGTATGCATTTTGGAAGTAAGTTATTGCATTAAATTTAATATTCTATAGATTTGTTAAATTATAAACTATAAACAAATCTTTCAGGCTTTCTGGCTTCAACGTGGAATGAATGGTCGCATAGGTGGTACTACTCCAGGAAAATCTATAATGGGTTTACGAGTTGTTCAATGTCGAAACGTTGTACCAGCGGATAGAGCAGATGATCCAGACATGGTGTACGTTCAACCAGGAACTGATTTAGGTTTTCCATTGGCATTTAGCCGGGCTGTAATAAAAACTTTAATATTATCTTCTGTTTTTCCTATATGTTTTGGTGTATTCTTTTTTAGATTTAATAGAACAGGGTATGATTTAATTTGCAATTCTATCGTTATAGAGGATCCTTACAGGAATGTAAATAATAATAATAATAATAATAATAATAATAATAATAATAATAATAATAATAATAATAGGAATCGTCGGTAGATATTAATTCTTAACAAAACATTATGCATATGGAGTGAGTCAACTAAATTTTGTATCTGAAAGCGTTTTTTCTTTTTGAATAAAAAATAATGATTACATACTTTCAAAGAGAAACTGTTTAGTGAAAATGCGATTTCTAAACAAAATCATTACCAATTTTTTACTATTGCAGTCGCAAATTTTTCTATATTAAGAATTGAGAGTGAGAATGAAAAGAATATATTTCAAGTATAAATATTAGATTGACTGACCCTGTATACAATGGACGCATATGAGGCTGTGTGGAATAATTAACTCGTAATTGTACTGAAATATATATATTAAATAAAAAGTAATTTTTGTAAAGATAAATATACATATACATATAAATATATTATATTACAGTATACAAACGTATGCAAATAATATCACATAGGTTTTGCTAGTAAAGTTTTTTTTTTTACTTTTGGGCGCTTCCGTAAATAATTAGATTTCAATTTGCGACTGAATTGTAAAATGTAAGTTTATCGCTCTATGTAGTTTAAACTTTATATTATAAAACTTTAGGAAAAACACTTTGATGTAAAATAAAGGAGAGAGTTATTCAATAATCTTGTGTTATTGGTATATTTGTTTATTATATACCAACAATTTTATAACACATATAAAACGATAAAATTAAATTAAATTAAGAAAGAAATAATTCTGTATTGTAAAAAAGTCATTTTGTACTTTTGTAATCGTTCAAATTTTGCCGCTGCCGTTGACAGCGCCATCTGAAAGCTAGTGTACGAACTAATTCTTCATGATTCACGATTGACCAATGACGTCACTTCCCAGTTAAACGTGGCTACCCCGCGATTGAAGGAAGGAGTGGCATCAGGATCTGTCAAAAGTTAAATGATATTTCTTGAAATTAATGACTAACTACGTCGATTAAACAGTTTCAAAGTGCTTCTTAAAGTTAATTCGTAGTTTTTTACGAACAATAAAAGAAGAAAAAATGTCGTCCTCAGGCGATTATGGTAACCCACTGCGTAAATTCAAGCTTGTCTTTCTCGGCGAACAGAGCGGTGAGTTAGATACAGATAGAAAATATTTTTTCAACATACTTCCATTTGATTTTCGGATCAATATCGAAGTACCATTTAATATTGTCTCTTCAATGATAATTACTTTAATTATTCGTTTATCTCGTTTTTTATTTAAAAAAAAAAGAACTATAATGTATCGATAAAAGTCGTATTAATTTCAAGGACCGTTCTAGGTTATGGATCAATATTTCTGACCGCGGCGAACAGTTTATTTCTCGCAATCGAATTCGGCGTCTCTGTCGTTCATTCCCTTCTTTAAATTAACTTATTCGAATAATCTTTGTCTATTGACAATTTGTATTATTTTTTTAAATAATTTCTTCAATCATATTAATTACAAATTTTCTTATACGTTTATAATTGTTCTTAATAGAAATATATTATTTATGTTTAAGCGTTAATAATTTTTCATTAATGATGCGGAACGCCAATAGTTAGGAGATTTCTATCTGGGTATGCAAATGTTGTATTTGACAGGTTTAATATATATTTTTTTTTTTTACAACATTTTTATCTTTTTATATGTATATGTATATAGATCGAGTTTAGTGTTTATTAGTACCTCGTATATTAATTAACAAATATAATTAATTAGCATGTTGTGAGATTAAATCTAACAACAATCCTTTTTTCTTATTACATTTATATTGATTTATAAATGATCTGTCAAATAATTATTTCTTTATCTAAATTTATTATTAATATTCATATTATACTAATTATATATTTTCTCTTTTCATATAATGACTTTATTCATTATTAATTATTTCATAAAAAATAAATGAATCAACCTTTCATTGCATATAAAAATCAATTAAATATTTTGCATACATACATTTATATAAACAATTTCTTTTTATTTCAGTTGGTAAAACATCTCTCATCACACGATTTATGTATGACAGCTTTGACAACACGTATCAGGTATGATATAAATAATTAAATACTATCTCATCTTTCTGTAGAATATTTTAATATTAAAACATAACCTAAGTTCAATATTTAGTGGAAAGATTTTAATTATTGATAACATATTGCATTAGTTTATTAAATTAAAAATATTTTTATGTAGGTGTATATATGTATATATATATATATGCATAGTTTTATTTATTATGTTTCAGGCTACAATAGGTATAGATTTTTTAAGTAAAACTATGTATCTAGAAGACAGAACAGTGAGATTACAACTTTGGGACACTGCTGGTCAAGAACGGTTTCGTTCTCTAATACCTAGTTATATCAGAGATTCTACAGTTGCAGTTGTTGTTTATGATATTACTAGTAAGTTTATATTAGATATTGACATTATTAGATTAGAAAGTTTGATAACACACGATGATATATTACAGACGCTAATTCGTTTCATCAAACATCAAAATGGATCGATGATGTACGAACTGAAAGAGGAAGTGATGTTATAATCATGCTAGTGGGGAATAAAACAGACTTGAGTGATAAGAGACAGGTATCTACGGAAGAAGGAGAACGTAAAGCTAAGGATTTAAATGTGATGTTCATCGAAACTAGTGCTAAGGCAGGATATAATGTTAAACAGGTAAACTTTCATATCATTACAATTTATCTCATCGATTCTACTATGTTTATCAAAAATGATGATATAAGTTGTGACATTAATTTTCCATATTTCAGCTATTTAGAAGAGTAGCAGCAGCTTTACCTGGCATGGATTCCACTGAAAATAAACCTCCCGAAGACAGTATCCTTTCTGTAAGATATTTAGTATCCATGCTTGCATGCCACCACACTCATTTAGCTGCATTATTAACATTTTCTTTTCCTACATACACTAACATTATGTACCACCTATTATATTATCTATGATACTCATTTCCTTATAGTTTCCATTATTCGTTATCGTCCTATTTTCTTTTTTTCCTATTACGTAATTGTTTTCTTTCTTTTTGTTTCTTTTTTTTTTTTTTTACTTCACACATGTGTATTTAAGTTTAATCTGAATATTCTCAACCGAAAATTAACTAAAGTTTCAAAACCATAAAAGATTAATTAGCATAAGATAATAATAATCTAATATGCGTCAGCTATTTTAATAACAGTTTTTCTACATTCGATAGTTATTTCAAATTATACAAGAGATTGATTATTCTTTTCTATCAACGATAAATAAGCAGAAGGGGGATATTTATTGGGTTTTTTTCTTTTTTTTTTTTAAATTTTATTTTGTTTTATTATTTGATTTTAGATATAGCTTTTTCTGATCTTTTGATCTTCTATTCATTGTTTGAATATAATTTTCACCATATATTCATTTGTAACGCTCTTGTGTTTTCAGACAGAGGTGTAATTTCAATTTGTTTCCTTTTATATTTTTTGTGTTTTCCTTAATGTGTTTTTTAAAACCTGTAGTGCAAGAGGTAGTTCTGAAGGATACACCAATTGAACTCAAAGCATCGGAGAGCAGTTGTGCATGTTAAAGCCATCGTCGGCCTAATGGTAGACAGGATATATACATATACATTGAAATAAGTTCAATTCAAATCTTATTTTAGGACATTAGGAAAAAAGAAAAAAAAACAATGATATTTGGTCTGTGTTTTTCGCAGCATTGATGATAATGCGTATGAATATTGTGAAAAACGAGAGCACTTGTATTTAAATGGTTAATGATATTTTGTCTCTGATAACAAAAAAAGAAAAAATGAAAGAAACGAAACAAAAAAGAATAGCGAGAGACAGTCTCAGCGAACTGAAAATAGCCTAAGTGGACTGCTTTTACACAATAATGTTTGTAGCTATTACTCGTAAATAGTAGTTTATATATATATATATATATCTTAATTTAATCCTGTATTATATATATATATATTTTAAAAAAGTATTTTTCAATCACACGGCTTTATATCATCGCGTAAGTACTAGTTTTTATTCACGACATCATTTTTATATGATACAATATTGCAAATGCTTCTTTTTTCCTAACTCCCCCTCTCTCTTACTTGTTTTTTTTTTTATTTATTATTTTAGTTTTGTTTTGTTTAGTCTTGTCGTTTATAATTGCATTCTACGTGAAATGAGACAGGAAAAAAAAACAAAAAGAAGGAAAAAAGAACAAAGAATTTCAAGGTTTTTTCTGTGTGTACTTACTGTAATATCGATGAGCAATATATATATATATATATATAGAATTCGTGTATTCTAAATAAAATGCTGTGTAATATATATATATATATAAATATATATATATATATATATGCATGGTGTCCATTGCACCATTATTAAAAAAAAGAAAAAAAAAATGATAAAATGTTTTCTAAATTATCGAATTTATTTAACGAAAAGGAAATAATATTTGTAAGCAATCGTAAATTAACTTATTGCGTAAATGCAGTCACAATATATATATATATAATATAATAGTAGTCTTTTACACGCCGGCGCAGGTTTATTAATCAAAAAAAAAAAGAAAGAGAGAGAAAGAGAGAGAAAGTGTGATTTTTAAAAATTATTTCTTAATCGTCAGCAATAATTCTATTATTCATAAATTAATTTTTTATTATTATTATTATTATTATTATTATTATTTTGTTTTCGCCTAATTTATTTCTATTTGTTAATGTAATGTTAGAAAAGAGTTCGAAGAACTTTAAGTGTATATTAAATTTAAGTTTGATAGTAAAAAAAAAAAAAAGAAAAAGAAAAAGGATCTA